TATTTTCCACAACACACCTTTTTTTTTTCTTTTTTACTTCCACCGCTCCAAGCTTGCTCCTGTGATGGACTACAATCTCAATACAAACTAGTAGTCCCATCACTGGAGCCATTTTTAAAAATGTATTTTATTGTTTATCCGATTAACCGATTAATTGAACTTAATAATCGGCTAACTAATCGATTTTGAAAATAATCGTTAGCTGCAGCTCTAGTGGTGAGCTCATAGAACTTAATGAAATGTCACTTGTGACATTTTAATAACATTCTAACAAAAAGAAAGATCAAGGGCATTGGCTCTGGCCAGGCACACCAACAACCGTGTGGTGTAGCGAGCAGCTGCTGTTTTGAACAAGACCTTAGCCCGATCTCTAACACTGCGGTAGCCAATTGACATTGCACACTACCTTACAAACCAGACATTCTTTTCTCTCTTTAAGGCCCATTTCCTATGAGGTTTTTAAATTCCTGCTGCAAGAAACAACATATTTCTGCAGCCGGAATTCTAGGTATCCCCATTCAGATGTGGCTGCTGAACCCATTGAAGTTAGTGGCTGCATCTCTCTGCGTCAACGACATTCATCTATCCCAAACCCCTTCAGTTTCATGTACGATTACATGAGGGCTGCCACAGTGATTTTTCATTTGTACATATTGAACATATATGTTCAATAGATATATTAGTGGTAGTGTCTCTTTTTTTATGGATTAACCAAATGTAAAAAATTTTTTTGAAAACCTCTGCCCGTCTTTCCAAGTGTACAAGGAAAATATTTTGGTGAATGAAGTTAGTGTATGTGTTTAGTTCATTTATATATCACATGCCTATTTCTTCTGCAGATAACAGTATTCACATGTCCCTGAAGTCAAGTTATGGTAGAAAACATGGGACATTAGCTGTATGTATTTAGAATGAGACCTGAAACTGCAGCAATGCAAATATCGGTAGAACGTACAGATTTTGTCCACAGGGTACTTCTGGTCGTAAATGAAACAAAGACTCCAACACAGCAAGCTCTCAATGAAAACCACTTTGCAGCCATGTTCAGCAAGACAATAATGTACCCAAACCTAGCATGTCCGGTGTATAATTAGGTTAAACACTATATCAGAAATGTCCCTGGCAATTGTTGAATACGTTGACGTGTATGTTTGCAGAGAGTTGCGATGATTATGTTATGCATTTGTGGAGACACAGTTAGGTATGGCTTTATGCATAAGCAGAGGCTATGAGATTATTACAGGAGGCTTTCTGTGTAAAGAAGGGGAGGTTAAGCTTGTTCCAGAATACATTGCTGTTTAGTTTGGCTCAGGCCTAGTTCCTGCTGCTGGCCGAGCTCCACACTTAATGATCGCACCTCGCACCTCACGCATCTCCGCACCGCATCCTCTTTGTGTTTCCTGGCTGCATGAATGTCTCTTAATCCTGAACTGTCATTGCTATGTGCAGGCTGATGAACCAGAATCCTTGCTGGACTGCTATGCTACAGTCCTCTTAACCCTTCGAACTTCAGCCCTCTTAACATTAATTTATAGGCAGTTAACAGGTGACGGATAGTACATCCACAGATGTGAATTAAGCAGCCGCGAAATGGGCTGTTAAGAACTCCTTTTAAAATGGTTTGCACTTTAACTCTAGTTTTCTTCTTTCTCTGACAGCCACTTGTTGGTTTCATAAAAGCTTTATCATTTCTCTCTGGAAGTGAATGGGTTATGGCACCTCTCACTGAGCTCCCCATCAGCTACAGTTTCCATCATGTAATCTGGTTTTAGCAATCATTTCCTGGAGCAATTCCAGCCAAAGCTCAGTCTGGAACAAAAATCCTTTGGAAGTAGCCCACAGATCAGGCTCACGAGGCTGAAAGGCTGCAGGGTCCTCTTTTCACCCTGCAGAACCACCCAGAAAACGCTGGCTGGTTTATTCCCATTTATTGATGAAAAGGACTGAATTAAAAATAAAGTGGTTTCAGAGGTGTCGCGGTAGTAAGGCAAGCTTTATTATTTATTGTCAACCTGTCAATCAAAGTTGCACCTTCTTCTTCTTTTTTTTTTTCTTATTTCTTTAGGGCTCCTTTACACCATATGTGATGTCATGCATTTTGCTCTGTTTCCCATTGCAAACAAAATGCAAGACCATTGGCAAGACCATTGTGTTCAGTAGGTGACTTGCACACCAATCCATTGCATTGATGTTCCAGGGTCAAGTTCATTGCAGTGTTTACTCTGATGTGATCATTTAGCTTACTGGCAGTGGTTGCACAAATTTCATTTTATAAATTTTTTGTAATTTAGTTGTCTTTTTTTATTTTAAAGAAATGTATCCATTTAACAGTGGTTAGGTTGCTTTAATGCGTGCATAAAAACTAACTTCAAGGGGGAGTAAAGGCGATGTAAAAAAAATAATAATAATGTGCTAGCATATTAGCACATTGTGGAAGCCTTACCTGCCAAAGCAATCTCCTCCAGAGCTGTGATGTCTGGGCTCTTCTCTCTCCCAGGCACTTCCATCTTCGTCCCGGTCTCTTCTGCTTAGTTGGTTTATTTCCATCTTCGTCCCTGATCTTCGTGCACTTCCATCTTCGTTCCTGATTTTTCGGCTGCTTAATTGGTCGGGTCCGGATGACAAACTCCAGTCCACATGTGCAGGGGAGTTACTTAATCTAGGCAAGAATCTTGCTGAGCCTGTGCACTGAGCTGTGCATGTGTGGCTTAGTGTACAGAAACAAAATTGCTGACAGGCAGGAGGAAGCTTCTATGTCGGCAATTGTTTTCCTCTAAGACTTTACTTAGACTTTAAGTCGGCCATTTTTTGTTTCGATTTGGCTGAAATTTGATCTAGGTTTCCCTGCTGTCACCACCTGTCTCTTTTTTTCTGTCGACATTTTGTGAAGGATCCGGGTTGAAAATAATGAGCAGTCACTGTTGGGGCATTCTGACAGCCACAGGCACTGGATTTCAGAATACAATAGCTGGAAGGGAAGACGGCTTCATCCACGCTGTTTAATAAGAATGGGGAATGGAGTAAATTTTAAACAAAATCTTAAGGTATATGGACAATTTTACTGTACAAAAAGTACCACATTTACATTTTGCACCTTTGACGTAACCAACAACCCACGACTGGTGCCATACCCTTTGTCCTGTTTCCAAAGCAAGATCCCTCCCGGGAAAGCAACACCCCCAGTCTGTTAGCAAGGATTGTCATTAAGATTTCAGAGGCAATTGAATTCAGCATTTGCCATCCCACACATGAATTTCATGCATACTATGTTCCAAGATTTGTTTTGTGGTAGGGTTTAGTGGTAGGATGTGGTAGCCTCATCCTTGAAAAATGCATCTAGCAAAGCCTTAGCATGTAGTGCGTTGAATCGCCAATCCTACGGTTTCATACATTTTCTAGACCACCTCCATTCTTCTTTCTGCTAGAACCCAAGCTGGGACAATAATGGTTCTTACACAGAGTATCCCAAGTGTAAGGACCTGTAGTAACATGCAACAGTTTTATCAAATTCAACAGTTATGCAACAGTTTTATCAAATTCCATAATGATTTGCCTTGAAAGGAATATAGCAACTGAGAACATATTTTTGCAATTTTCAGGTCCCTCCAGTACTGGAGAAAAAGTCTTCTCTTGTACAGTTTCTGGTCGCTCAAACAATGCACTACAGAAGTTTGTTGTTTTTAGTTGGCCCCTTGATGGTAACGGGGTACTCGCTAGCTGTAGAAAACTTGCCTGGTGGATTAAGATTACGGGTATATTCTGCAAACATGATGCAGCTCTTCAATGTCAGTGGCCTACAGTTTGGGAACATTCCGTTCACTGTGAGAAGAAGGGATGATCCTATATAGATTTTAGTTTTTCCATTTTATTTTTGACCACATTTGTATGTTTTGATATTTTGTCAAGCAGTACGTATATCTGTTTTATTACTTACCAAATGTTGCCATTTCTGGTTGGTATGAGTGTTTCTTCTATTGTTATAGATACTTTATAGATTAACTGCTCCAGCTCACCAATGTGTGGGAAACACGAACTCTTCCATCCTTCTATATGCGAGGACCCACAGCAGATCTTCGGTGTAAACTGGAATATGCCCTTAAGGATATTTGTGACTTATTTTGTATTATACACGTGGCACCTTCTGGTTGCTTCATACAGTTTTTCTTTCACTAAAATATGCAGTTAATGTTAATTTTTTTTTAAACTCTATTTATTTTAAGTAATAGGCACAGATACAATGAAAGAGAGTATGAGACAAGTGTTAAATATAACTGTAAAAACTGAATAACATCTATCTTTAACCATAAAGAACCATACAGAGGTTGGTAGATTATACAGCGGGGACATAGGTGTTACTTATTTAGAAAGTATGCTATAAAACAGTTAAAGAAACAAAAGGGAACCAAATACGGTCATCAAACGAGAAACTATCATGAGCTGCATCAAGAGGACTCATAAGGAACAATACACATCTCAGAGTCCATTCAAGCCCCCCAGACCTTTGCATGTTTACCAGGACAATTTTTATGTTGGTAGATTCATTTCTCATATGGAATTATTTGATTGACCAAATTTATTCATTGGGAGACAGTAGGAGACCGAGGGGTTGTAACCAATTAATGACCATTACGTTACAAGCCAGAAATAAAGTTTAATTTAAAAATGTTCTTTGGACAATCTGACAAGACAATCAGATCCAAAATACATATGGCAAGGACTTGGTTTTGCAAAAAAAAGGAGTATTACCAGATAGAGTTGGAGCCAGCTGTGTAGAGCTGGTAAACATGCTGAAAATCTGCTTTTACGCTATATTCCATAATGTTTTGTGTACATGATGCATGTTAAAAAAATGTTGTGTGGTTTTTGTGGTCTGTGTGATTTGTCAAACTTTAAGGAGTGTAACCAACCTTGTTCTGTACACAGCAAAAATCGCCATCAGAGCCCTTTATGCGGGAGAAGAGGCTCAGCAGCCAGCCCTACCCTGGTCGCCCCATACAGTTGGACAAGATCCTCCTTACCAAGGTCAAAGTGCCTCACACCTTTGTTGTCCACTCATACACTCGACCAACAGTATGCCAGTATTGCAAGAAATTATTAAAGGGTCTTTTCCGGCAAGGACTACAATGCAAGGACTGCAAATTCAACTGTCATAAACGGTGTGCAACTAAAGTGCCTCCCAATTGCCTTGGGGAAGTTCAAATCAATGGAGGTATGTTTGTTTGTCTGTGTATTTATATATGAAATGTTTCAGCATAGGTTTTAACTTATAGCTAAAAGCAACGTTTTTTTCTTTTCAAGATTTGTATAAAGTGGTAAAATTTAGACCACTGACGATTACCGATACAATAATGACAGTTTTTCTAAAACAATACAGACTAATGATTTTAGGACAGTGGTGAAGCACCAAGGCCAGGTTGCAGCTGCGACCCTTGGTAGTTCTGCCACTGACTCCAAGCTGTAGGAGAACTACAAATTTCAGCAATACATTGTATAGCAATGCAGAATTTTATCAGCTATAGAGGACTACAAATCTCAGCAATACATTATACAGCAATGCAGAATGGCACCTGCTAAAGAGGACTACAAATCCCTGCACTACATTATACAGCAATGCAAGATTATAGTAGATGAATTTGTTACATGCTGCTGCTCTTCATGAATACGAGTACTCATATAAATGCCCAGTATCGGCACTGATATCAATACTGGTATCGGTGCATCCCTACTTAAAATTCTAGCTGGTAGCTAGGGCTTTTTGAGGGTTAGATTGTTTTCTTGATTTTAAAAGTGCTCATAGACATATTCAGTAAACATCAGTTATAGTACACTTTCCTGTACTGCCTGCCCTTCATATCATAGACTTACCATTACCATTACCATTACTTACCATTGATGTACCTCTGAAGAACCCTCTCTGCCTGGTCTTACCCAAGACTTTGACTTCAGTGTAGTCTGTGGCCTGTACATTAAAGTTCATTAGTGTGCTGCCTCCATTCCAGGAGTGTGTCCATTATCATTTATGCAAATCCCACTGCAGGAAGTGTGTCTCAGTGGCATGTGTTTTTTGTTGTGTGTTTTTTTGTTATGCCAGGGTTGTGTGATTTATTTGTCTCAAAGTATCAAAGACATATTGAAAGCCAGTAGCTGACTCAGCCTTATTACTTCCTATTACTACAAAATCATGTCTGTATGATTTGACCCTTCTAAATTTGGCAAAAAGGTAAATGTCAAAATAAATTAGTAAGCTTTATTGTAAGGTGGATCAGGTAAGTGTCTCTATGCAATGCAGTCAGATAATGGCCAGTGGAAGGGGCTGTCAGGTTGCTGTACCCTGCCTTAGTACTCTTCTCTAGAGCCCTCAACCTTGATGAAAGCAGTGGGGACTCATGGGAGGAGTTATTAACATTGCAGTAGATCATTTTGGGTATGTTCTATGTAATTGAAGGGGAAGTATGGTATTTTTAGTCAGTACTTGTTTTTAAGCTATTGAAGTGCTTACCTTAATGTTTGACTTTCACATTTTTACATGCTTGCTTTTCCATATATGTGTTATTGCATTAAATGTATAGAATTGTCAAATACTAGAGGGAGTTGATTCAGTGCTATTATTTGATCTGTCTTGACAGTCATTGAGATAAGATATCGATGACATGGGGAGTGCATTGTTTTCCATAAATCAGCAGAATTTACATTAAATAAATAAAACAGTAACACACAACCATTGTACAGCACTGCAAAACAGCAAGCAAAGCTTGCATATATGATGAACAAGTATGGTGGCCCCATGTACCTATATCATTACAAATTATTCATAGAAGCAAGGTCTTTAATATCTTGTTACATACTAATCAATCATCTTTAGTACACATTTATCTTGAAGAAGCATTGAAAAGGTTCCTTTTGAGTTAAGCTGGCCATACACTGTTCTATTTTTTTCGTTCAACGCACAGACTGGAAATAGAAAAAAAATGAAAAAAAATAGAACAGATTCCTCTATCAACGCTTACGAGTGCAGATAGAGGAATCCACTGCTGCTGTGCATTGTATTCTGATAGCGGTCGCTGTCAGGGTACCCGAATAGTGGAAGTAGTTCAACGAATAGTTCAACGATTTTCCGACCGCCTCCTTCGATCAGCTGATCAAGGGATGGCATGTTCCAGATCACATTTGTACAGTGTATGCCCACCTTTAGGTGTGTTGTCATAGAGTGATGTCCTTCCTAACATAGCAGTATACTTTAAATGCAAAATATTGTAAGACTTATTTCCAATTTGTATGTTCCTGCTTTTCAAGACTTGCTGAGCCCTGGAGCAGATGATGTTTTAATGGAGGAGTTAAGTGACATTGAGAATGACCCAACCTGTCCGATGGATGACATTGATGAACCCCTAACACCAGACAGTGGAAGCGGATGCCAAAGTGAGAACGGAGACATGCAGGACCCCGACCAAGATCAAGACACAACAGACCGTATGATCAGGTGTGCAGCAGCAGGAAGTGGTGGTGTCAATAACAAAAATGAAAACACTGAATTACAAAAAAAACAAAAATCCTTTTGGCAGACATAGCTTTTGGCTCAGTAAATTATACGATTGAATTGGTTCTGTTGCAAGGTCTTCATTACCTGTGGAAGTGCCTGATATGTGGAGTAAATCAAAGGGACAAAGATGCTTTTTTCCTGGTAGTTTCAGAATGGCACATCTGAACTTCTAATCTTAGTCATGACAACCGTATTTGTTTAAAGCAGCCGTTACCATTTCAGATGATGAGAAATGTATTTGCTGTAAAATGACAGAGGGCCTTTTAAAAAGTCTAGCCAGTGTTTGGACAGACAGAATAAAGTGTTATCTGGGATGGGATAATTCATTCAATGGCTGTACATGTTATTACCTCACAAAGAGGTGAACAGTATAACCACGGTATGTGTAGAAATACTTCTGAAATGTAATGTTACCAAGAGAATACTGTATTAGTAAATTAAGTATTTTGCTCACATTTGGGGAAATGTATACAAGGTCAGAGTGCAAGTTTGGCTACTGTAGAGCCATGTTGTTGTCCTATATGGAGAGCCTTACTGACTTCACGCAGGTTCCTAAAGCTCTACAAGCCGGGAATAGCAATCTGCGTGTAGTGAGAGGAAAACTAATCTCATCAAAAAACTATAGTGGCACCATGACCTGACATTCTCTGTTATCTAGTGGTGTTTGTGACCATTTGACAGCATCCAAACCTGCAGCTTGATCATATATACATTTTGCTAAATTATCCAGGCAATCAGTTGCTTGCTGTTTTTTTATACCGGAGGAACTGAAAACGTGTAGGTTTGCTTATGGCAATCTGTCTGATTCTTGGTGTTATTTTCCCGCCTCAGGTTCATATTTTTATTTTAAACCATGCAATACATACGTGGACAGATTTGTTGGTACACTTCCACAACAGAAGTAACTTGAAACTGATCAAAGTGATGAGCATCCACTGTTACTGATTCGATATTTAATAAAATCAGATGTTGCTTCTGATTGAACAGGGCATTTTTACATTTTGCAAATGTATTCTGTAGATCTCATGCAACTTCTGCACCTGCCAACAGGGAGTTTGGTCTATTCTTCTGCAGCAAGCTGCTCCAACTGTCTCAGGTTTCAAGGGTGCCTTCTCAAGACTGTATGTTTCAGCTCTCTCCATAGATGCTTGATAAGCTTCAGATAAGGGCCCATAGAAGGCCAATTCAGAATAGTCCAGTGCTTTGCTCTTAGCCATTTCTGGGGGTTTTTAGTTGTTTCTGTTGGGTCATAATCCTGTTGAAGGGCCCAAGACCTGTAACTGAGGCAGAGCTTTCTGACACTGGGCAGTACGTTTTGCTCCAGAATTCCTTGATGATCTTGAGATGTCATTGTGCCTTCACATATTCAAAGCTTCCCTTGCTAGACACGGCAAAGCAGCCCCAACACGTAACAGAGCTATGTTTCATAGTATGTATGGTATTATTTTCTGTGAGCATGCCACTGATGTGGCTTGCCATAAAGCTCCAGTTTCATCTGCCCAAAGGACAGTTCTCCCAGAAACATTGGGGGGGATTTATCAAAACTGGAGCAGGCTAAATCTGGAGCAGCTGTGCATGGCAACCAATCAGCTTCTCTCTTCAGTTTGTTCAATTAAGATTTGAAAATGTAAGAGGAGCTGGTTGCCATGCACAGCTGCTCCAGATTTTGTCTGTTACAGTTTGGATAAATTCCTCCCACTGTTCCTTGTCAGTATGCATTTTAGCAAACGGTATTCCTTTTGAGCCCACCATCACTCAAAAAGCAAATGATGGTTCAACCAGACTTTGATGTAACTTGACCTTGGATTTCAACTTCCATTCACACTACCCTTCTATTCAATCTGGTGTCTATTTTCTTCTTGCGGCCATATCCAGGGAGGTTGGCTACACTCCCGTGGACACTAAACTTGTTAAGGTTTGCAGCTGTAGTCACTGGAGCATCAAACTGCTTGGACATAGCCTTATATCCTTTACCTTTGCCGGTCTATCATTTTGTTTTTTTATTTTACTTTTGATCGCTGACAACTCTCTTCTTTGCTTTCTCTGTCCATGTTTAATGTGGTGCACACAATGATACCAAACAGCAGTATGTGACTTTTTCTCCATGTAAATAGACAGACTGACTGATTACAAGATTTAAGACATTTGTGATACAAATTACAGAAAACCATAAGTTTAAATGCCACTATGATTCAATTATTCATTTTAATCGTTTCTATTGGTACCAACAAATCTGACGAGACCATTTTAAAATATCTTTGTAGAATAAGCAATACGTTATCATCCTTTTGTTCACACTTTCTTTTCTTTGCTCTATGACATGACAAAGGCATGCAGCTATACACAAGACGATCACTTTCAATTTCATCCCTTTTCAGGAGGAAAGTAGGATTGTTTTAATGAGATGAAATGGTACCCACAGATTTCTCCACATCTATATTGCTTGATGACAGTATTGTTCTTTTATTACAGCCCTTCAGCCAGTAATAACATTCCCTTGATGAGAGTGGTTCAGTCGGTCAAACACACAAAGCGGAAAAGCAGCAGTGTTATGAAGGAAGGCTGGATGGTGCATTACACCAGTAAAGATACTATGGTAAGAATTGATGTGCCAGTTATATTGTTATGGAATGCTACATTCCAGCCAACTTCCAGATTTGATTAGAGTGGGGAAAAGTTACATTATCAGCCAGGTTATGTCAGTCTGTGATTTGCCCTCACTCCCTGTCTCTGTAACGCCCATACAAAAAATTAGGGGTGAGTTTGTCCCCAGAACAATAAAAGCATTGTCAAAAATTCAGACCCTACACAAAATGTGTTGTTGTCTGTGTCTGTTGGAGAGATTCCCCTGCCCTCCTTGTCCTGACAGGAAGTCCGGGAAAATTACAGAAACGGAAATACAAACCTGACACCCGTTTTTGTTTGTTCTGTCTAATATTAAATGTTTTGACTGTGGTTGCACTTTTAACTCACAAGTTGATGTAACACATGTATTAATTTAAAACGTTTTCATCTTTTGTTTTTGTCTCTATTATGGCAGAGAAAGAGACATTACTGGAGACTGGACAGCAAGTGTATTACCTTATTTCAGAATGATACTGGAAGCAAATACTACAAGGTAACAGAAAAGTTTGCAACAACAGATCTATTAAGGAGAGCGGAATATTCAATTTCTGTTGTCAAGTCTTCATAAAGGATTTTATATCATACAACATGATATGCATTTGGGAGTTGGCAATCAGTCTGACAATCAACTGCACTTTATTTTATACTGTACAGCATATATGTACTGGTTATCATTCAGGCCTTACTAATGTGAAATAAATTGAACGCTGGTGCTCAGTTGGTGATTACACCAACTACACTATATGGCCTAACCTTTGTGGATGCCTGACCATCACACCTATATAAGCTTGTTGGGCATAACATTCCAAAGCAATGACCATGTAATGTAGCCATGAGAGCCTCTACTCTTCTGGGAAGGCTTTACACGCTATATTGGAGTATATCTGTAAGTATGTGTGCCCATACAGGAAAAAAGAGCATTTCCCCATGTTTTGTCCAGGAAAGGTTTCCTTTATGATTGCCAATGCTGAGGTTTTCATTTTTACTATATGAATCTAAGCCCCGGTTTACTAGCATTAGCCTGTAAACAGCTTCAAAGCTTGTGGAGTGCCTGCTGAAATCTGCTTAATGTTTAGGGAAAGCATTCCCTTTAAGATTGAATTTTAGAACTTCCTGGCAGCAGCTGGAATGTTTCTTTAAGGGCCTTATGAAAGCTGCTTGAATGTTTTTAGGTCTATACTGAATGGGATATTTCCATACTAGCATTTCCAAACGAATGCCTTTGTACGCTAGACTTAAAAGGGAACTATGGGGTAAGTGTTTTCCCCATAGTTCTCTTAAGGGTCACGGGAGGACATATACCAGCATCCTCCCGTGACCCAAAAGTCAGTATATCGCGAGCTACAGCTCGCGGTATACTGAGACCGCCGCACCCGGGACGGATCGCGACAATGCTGTCGAGATCCAACTTAAGGGTCACGGGAGGACATATACCAGCATCCTCCCGTGACCCAAAAGTCAGTATATCGCGAGCTACAGCTCGCGGTATACTGAGACCGCCGCACCCGGGACGGATCGCGACAATGCTGTCGAGATCCACCCAGCTGTGTTAGTGACAGCTGGCTCTGCCTATCTAGAGGCAGAGGCAGCTGTGCCCTCACCCGTCCGTTCCTCCAGTCAGCGCTGAAGGAGCGGGGGAATCCCTGCAGGGGGTGGTGACTGACAGTCACGGCTCCCTCCAGGGAGATGATTAAGAAGTGATTGAGCGACGGTATGTGTTCGCTCACTTCCCGAGCTATTGAGCCGACGTGTGACAGTTTCATTGTCGCACGTCGGCTCGAACTATGAGGATGAATGATTTTCACTCACCTCACAGTTCTCCTTTTAAAGAAGCTTCAAAGTAATCACAAAAACATTTAAGTTATTCTGATCAATTATATTTTACTTTTTTCTGCTCACCTTTATCAGCATAATTAGATAAGGTTTCCCATGCCTGATTTAAGGTCTAGGTACCATAAAGGGTATTTTGCCCTCTTAGGAAAAACAGCCTCCCCAGCAACATAAACCTTTCCTTACTCCTCCTTTTACTGTTTGGCCTCCAGAAACAAAGATAAATATTGTGTACTACTGGATAAGGAGGGTCATGTGATTGACCCTTTTTCCTCCTAATTTAACATTGCTGTTGCATGATTGGTCCTGCACTGTCAAGGGGAGGAAACGTAACATTCAAAGGACAGGAAGTCTTAACCTAGCATTTTTGTTTTTTCATTATTTTTTAATGTGTAACTTTAAATTTAGGGGGGGGGGAACTTACATTTTTTTTCCTTTTTTTTTTTTATGTGATAGCAAAATATGTGACAGGTCCTCTTTATGGAGACATTAGGGGTCTCCAAGACCCCTGATGTCACCTAGGACCCCCCAAAAGAAGCTGATGAAGCACAGATCTGCTCCATCAGCTTCTTTCCAGCTTCTAAAGCTGGAGAGTGACACAAGAATGCGGAAGTGATGTATTATACAACACTTCCGCATTCTTGCAGAGGAGAGGGGACCGCAGGGAGCTCGTGTACCGAGCTCTCTCTGATCCCCTGTGACACAGCCGACATGCTGATCCCGGGCTCGCACCAGGGCACAGCGGAGCCCGTGATCAGCGGGACAACGGCAGGTGGGGGCTGGGGGGGGGGCTCACTGATCGGCACCCCATACACACGATCCGCCGGCTCTAAAGCCGGCGGATCGCTTGTATTGTATCAGGCATCGCTGCCTGTTTTTAAAAAACTGCAATTTCCCGCTCGCGCTTGCGAGGGAGCATGTCTGAGCGGACGTCTAAAGACGCCCGCTCAGATCTAGAGAGCTCCGGGCCGGCCGTTTTTCTACTACGGCCGGCCCGGAAGTGGTTAATCAGAGTAGAAACATCCGATTGGTTCATATGAAATGGCCAGAGTTTTTTCCCCAGTTTCGATTCCCTTTTTAACTTTATTGCTATTTACCTTGGTTATCGAGGCTGTCGATTTATTGCCCAGTTTTGACTTTAAAATCGTCCCAATTCTGGTGGTTGTTCAGACTTGAGGGTGCTAAATTGCTTATTGTCTGGCAATACCTTCCTATTGTATTTGTGATTTGCGGTGGTATTGAAAGTGGTTGAAATCACTTGAAAATTGCCTTGTGTATGCCAGGTTTAGCAATGGTTTTATGGGAAGCGTAAGCTGCATTGCCTCAGTAGCACTGTATTTCTCACCCTGTAAAATTTTAATCACTCTGCTAAAACTTCACAAAGCAGAAGCCATTACATCAGTGGTTTTAGTAATAAACACGATTTTCCAACCCTTTGTAGTTATCTGTTACCCCTCTGCACATTTGTATTCACAAAATCACTGGCCTTAGCTCCACATATTGCTCTGCTGGCTTTCTTTATCATAATGACTCTTTGCCTGGCCATTCCTACAGCAACTACAATATACAACATATTTAAATGTGTACCCAGTACATTACTTTCCATATACTACACGTGATCTGCAGAAGTGCTGAAGGTTGGTGTCATTTAATTTTGTTTGGAAGACTTTCACACCTCTAGTAAGGGATTTATCAAGTTAGTTACATTCAGAATGAGGTGCATAGGTAGTGCAGTTCAGGCTGCCTCACTTTTGAGCGCTCACTAAGTGTTGCTTCCTTGCTGGCTGGTTAAGCAAGACGTCTCTCAGTTACTGGCGGAAATGCAGCAAAATGCAAGTCACCAGTGAAAGAGCAACGTCTCGCTCATCCAGCAGGTTAGGAAGAGACGCATAGAAACAGTGGAGTGTTTCACTGTTTCATTTATCCATGTATGGCAATCCTATCACTGGTAAGTTGTTGCGAACAACAGAATTACTGATATGACATGGCACTAAGTATTGAAATTATTTGTAAAAGAAAACGGATCGAGCGTTGGGGAACCCAACACACCCCCACCCCAGGACCGGCCACAGATTCCAGGCCCTGCTCAACTGCAGAACATATCCAAAAATAGCGAACCATTAAAGGCAGGTCCAGAACATTGATAAAAGGGCAATGGTAGGTTTTAGAATGACTTGACGCATTTTTCACAACAGTGCTTAGTCATAAGGCTGAGTAAGTACTGTTGTGCAAAATGTGTCAAGGCATTCTAAAGTCTACAGCTGTCATTTTTTGCTGAGGTTTAGAAGAGATTGGTTAGTGGAAATGGTTGTAATGGAAGACTGTTTGTTTTTTTTATTAAAAAATATTTGATCAACACCAGTGGGTTTTATATAATTATATAAAATAATCATTGTATCTTCTTGTTTAACAGGAAATCCCCCTTTCTGAGATACTATGCCTGGAACATGCTAAAAACCTTTCTTTGCTTCCTCCTGGTGCAAATCCTCATTGCTTTGAAATTACCACTGCTAATATTGTATATTATGTGGGGGAGAGCATTCCTCCACAGACGACACCTGAGATAGGAAACAATAGCGTGGTGAACAGCGGTGTGGGAATAGAAGTGGCAAGAATGTGGGAAATCGCCATACAACATGCACTGATGCCAGTCAATCCTAAGGGAGCAAATGGAGGAAGCAGTCAACACCGTATGTCCACCTTTACTGTATAAATCTTTACCAAAGTGTCGTATATTGTTTCTGTACTGACCTGACCTTTCAGTATCATCTCCATAAGTGTTGAACAGGCACTTATTTGTCCTTCCTGCTCACACCCTGGCATTAGATTAATTGCCTTATGTCAGCCTATAAGTGGGAGATAATGTGCAGTCTTTATAGCAGACAGTCATTACTCATTGGGCCTTTTATTGGTACATTTGCCAAAATATTAATGTAAATCTACGTCTGTGAAGAACATAGAAGGTCGGTACCAGCTTTTATTGGGCACCATGCGGGATCAGCATCTGCTTCCTAGACTGAGGTGCTGACCTGAATGTGACGCCTTCAGTGTAAATCCTGGTGCCTGGGCAATTCTTGGCTGTGCATGCACATCTCTTACAGATCAGCACCCTGCTGCATCATTTTATCTTGTAAGCTGCTGGAAAGTTGCAGTGATAATATGGTCCCAGTGAGTGAGGGAATACATCTGCAGCAGACTGATGATTTCATGCTTACTGATTTCTCTCTCAGGCCTAGGCATAGTTACTTGACTGGAGCTTCAAGTTTTGGTGTCATACATATTCAACATCCTATTCCTTGTTTATATAGTGTAATTAATGCAGGGATGGGCAAAAGTGGCCCTCCAGTTGTTGTGGAACTACAAGTTCCATGAGGCATTGCAAGACTGACGGTTACAGGTACGACTCCTAGAGGCAAAGTCATGTTGGAATTTGTAATTAAAGCAGAGCTGGAGGGCCAGAGTTGTACACCCCTGAATTAGTGGAAGCCACCAGATATACCACATCATAGAAATACGAAATGTTTTCTTTTTCCCATCAACGAAGACCTAAAAATGGGTCTACAAAAACCATGGTATAAAATAACAACATATAAAACATACCCTCCCAGTGCCCCTTATACAGGTGAAACTCGAATAATTAGAATATCGTGCAAAGTTCATTTATTTCACTAATGTAACTTAAAAGGTGAAACTAATATATGAGATAGACTCATTACATGCAAAGCAAGATAATTCAAGCCGTGATTTGTCATAATTGTGATGATTATGGCTTGCAGCTCATGAAAACCCCAAGAACCCCAAATCCACAACCTCAAAAAAGTAGATTATTACATGCAATCAATAAAACAAGGATTGTACATAGAACAATATCGGACCTCTGAAAAGTACAAGCATGCATATGTACTCAGTACTTGGTTTGGGCCCCTTTTGCAGCACTTACTGCAATTACTTTTGCACGATATTCTAATTATTCGAGTTTCACCTGTATACCTATGACCACAGAGTCCCAAGATTGATGAAGGATGGTGAAGCCATTCCTCTGATATAGCTGCGAGGATGGAAGGACTGCGAGTGATATTGAGAATTTGTTTCACAGATGGATAATACACATATCAAAGCAGATACCTTAATGTATGACTATCTTACCTCCATTCCAGTAGAACTTCACATGGGAGCCTTGTTTGCATTTGAGACAGCAGAGGATATAAACAAACCTTGTTTAAACTGGGACACATAATTTGAATGCGATATCTGAAACATGTCTACACGCAAATGCCCTAAAATTGGGAGAAACTTGTAAACGCATTACAATCTAATAAGATATTTTACTGTCAAGTAAGGTATCCTAAGGAACTTGATACATTGGAAATACAGTATATTACCCATCCTAATAGCTGCACTGCATTTACACTGTGGATAGAGTGCAAGTATACAATCATTCTCAGATTGTTTGAAACAATCTTGGGACTCTGTGGCCATAAGAGTTTAGGGGAACTGGAGGGATATGTTTTATAATTAATGTTATATGCGTTTATACCATTGTTTTTTTAGACCCATATTTATGTCTGCCTTGATGCAAGCAACAACATTTGCACTTCTATGATGTGATTGTGCGCTGAAGTTGCTGGAGGGCCAGACCATTATAAATAGGGAAGCAGGTTGTTTACCACGACAGTAGAAGTGATTTTTTTTCTGAAGAAATGGGTAAACAACGCGATTTAACAGCCTTTGAGCGTGGGATGATTGTTGGCGCACGGGGCCATAGAGCAAGTATCAGCAAAACCGTAGAATTCGTTAAATGTTCAAGAGCAGCTGTTGTTAAAGAGTTTAAAGACTGGACTGTCAGCCGAAAATCTGGGTCTGAACGTGCGAATTGTGGCCGTCAGTGACTAGTCAATGTTAGGACAGAACGGAGAGTGGCAAGACTGGTACAAGACAACAGAAGGGCAACAGTGCAGTGTCAGATTCCTCGCATCACCTTTCAACATCTCGTGGACTCACGAGGCGGCCCAACGAAGTCATCTAGTTGTGCGGACACGCTTTCATTAATTGCACTATATTAGGGGAATGGGGTGTTGAGACCAATTTTTTGTTTTACCTATACAAACACTGGAGTTATATACCAGGGACTCTTCACCATAGTAGGATACATATATTGGTTAAAGGCTTGCAGTCAGATTCTTTATTTTGTTGGTGAGATTACCTGCATATTTACCTTCCAAATGGACCTGTGCTTTAGGCATTGTTGTTCCAATCACCTTCTACTGTAGCTATAAGTACTGCTACAGAGACATTACAGATACCTACCTTTCTCCTTCAGATTCATATGACCAGTGGCAACACAGCCTTGCGTCAACAGGAAAGGTCTGACTGTGATATTTTCCTGTCCTTAATAATTAACCAGTTAGCATTTGAAAACCTAAACATAGTAGTTGTTTTGCAACGTATAGCTTTGGAATTAATTTGGATCGAAAAAGTAATTGCTGAATGTATCGTGTGAATCACATTGCCATTATGTTTCTATTGCAGGTGATGTTTCCACCAGCTTCTCTGTGTCCAACTGCCAAATTCAGGAAAATGTGGTATGTACTTCTAACAGTTCCTAACTTATTTACAATGTAAACTGTGTGCCAAAGATTAAGAATTTTCTGGCACAAATAACACCTGGTGTGTCCTGCTCTCTGTGGTTGAAGAAGCCGCATAGGTTGCCCCGCTTATTCCGATATTAATATCTTTGGTACTGTAATACATTTAGAAGTGGTAAAAAACATCTCTATACCTATTGATTTTGCAGCAGGATGTGTGATTAAAACAATTTCAGGAAATCAGTACATAAAAAATATAATGTACTAGTGATAAATATACATGCAGTAACATTATAAAGGAACATTACTTCATCTGCATAAGTGTGAAAGGGCTGAAATGATGAATCTGGTTGTTACAATGCATCATCACCTTTTGCACTAGGTTATTGAATAGTGCTTTGATAAGAGCCAATCTGTATTGCCTGCTCTTTTACAAGGTTAATGATGCCAAGTTTTCTGTCGCTTTGTCCACAGGATATTAGTTCTGTCTATCAGATTTTTCCAGATGAAGTTCTTGGATCAGGACAATTTGGTATTGTATATGGAGGTATGTATTGCACCCACTGTCAAAAATGCTTTGCCTATATTGCACTAATGTAGTAACTAATGGCTCACTAATTTGTAAATATGTGCTCCTTCATTTCAGGGAAGCATCGGAAGACAGGTCGAGATGTAGCTATAAAAATAATAGATAAACTGCGTTTTCCTACTAAGCAGGAAAGCCAGCTAAGGAATGAAGTTGCCATTTTACAGGTACAGATTGCGATATAACTGTTTCTCTGCTGGGATCTCATTGCTATGGGTCTGCCATAGTGATAATTGGATGAGTGACACTTTCATCGTTGATATGTTCTCTTTTTTACAGAAACTAAAGTTTATAAGGATTTTGAGTTCAGGCAATAGGTTAGGGGTCATAAGTTAGGTGTGTGAAGGAGCTTTTAAAGGAGAAGTAATGGAAGTAAAATATACTCTTTCCAATAATTAGAGCGTCTGACACTGCAGCTGTCGCACGCCAACTTTGAATACCACGTAGTTTACAGATGGGTCTTCTGCACTCCTTACAGTGGTTAGAACCATTAGCAATAGTGGTGCTTGTTGTGATAGCAATATATGGCACCATGCACATCAAGCATGTAGAAAATGAAGATACCCAGCACTCGCAAAATGATGTAAATCTTTGTGTGCATTGTTTAAAGAAATTCGTCACGTGTATCAATCAGCCAACATTTCGGGGCTACGAAGGGTCCCTTCCGCGGGGCAACAGGGCACTTAGATTTACGTAGTTCTGCGAGTGCTGGTGATCTTCAGTTTCTACAGACTCTGAATACTAAGCGCTGAGGAATCATATGACCGCTGATCGCTCACTGTCTTCTCCCTGCAGAGAGCAATGCCAGTCAGTCACCGCTCCCTGTAGGGATTCTCTCATACATTGCTCATTGGAGGGACAGACAATGGAGATGGCAGACACAGCTAGCTCTGGTTCTAGAAAGGCAGAGCCAGCTGTGAATCAGGCAACCGGGTGGATCCTGACAATGTTGTCAGGATCCTTCTGGGTTGAAGCGTGGCTCTGCTAATAGCAAGATATAGTGTGTGTGTGTGTGTGTGTGTGTGTGTGTGCGCGCGCGCGCGCGTGTGTTAGTGTTATACTGTATATGTAATTTATTCCCCCCAAAAAATAAGTTTATTGCCTTTTTGGGTTTTTTCCCTATATTCCTTTTTTCACTTGTCACTCTTGTAAAGGGCAGGCTGTTTGCAATGTTCAACACAGCGAGTCATCTGTATACTTTGAGCTACACGAGCGTTACCCTCCTGCTTTGCTGATGGCGGTGGGCATGTCTGCAAAACTGACTACACCAAAACAGGTATGCCCTTCATAGGCATGGCATCCTGTAACTCTGCCAGGGAACTACATCTCTGGGAAATACCTTTTTTTATGTTTTGGATAGAATGGGGGAAGGCTTAGACCTGTTAATATTTTGTTAGTCTGTGTCCTCATTAAATAAATTCTCCACTCTTTGTTCTGGGGACCATTGTCACAAAGACAGAGAAAGTAAGTGGAAATGTTCCAATGTAGAGAGTTGCTCCAAGAGGGTAATTCCTCTTACTTCCTGTTGCATCTCTGGACACGGAGTGAAGGGAAGTTTCCCCAACAGTGCACAGACCGAAAGAGCAATTCAGACACAGATTTGAAACATTTCCTACTCTATCCATAACAAAAAATGTTTTGCCCAAACCTATACGTTAAGCTTGTTTGAATAGAGAGCGTGTTAATACTCTTGTAGCATTTACTGTGTTCAGCTGCTCCACCTATATTTGCCTTTTCATGTGTACGCAAGGATTTCTTTATATAGTCAGACTATTTATTTTTTCATTAATGTATTTCTGACATAACCCACAATGGTTTACAGATTCCATAGGACCATTGCAGTATATGCCTGTACTAATGGAATTTAGCCATATGCCACTCTTTTTACAAGCACACACTCTGGAGACAATATATCTAGAACCCTAAATAACCATTTTTTTTTTTATTCTGGTAGAAAACCAGAACATTTGGAAGAAATGCAAAAAAAAATCAGACATTCTGATTGACTTCGAATGATAACATGCCTTTAGGCCTAACACAGTTTGCCATATTGCAATATATACATAAATCAAGAGAATGAGGTTCATAGCTGATGTTGAAAGAAAGGTTGAATTCAGATTATGTTATTAATGGTAGATGATACAGCAGCGCATCCCTGCTTTCTCTCCTCCCCACTGGGCGCTGCTCTATGTCCCAGCGGGGAGGAGAGAAACTGTCACAGGAGGAGAGCGCTGTGAGGGGCCGGCATCTCTCCTCCCCATACCGCTCAGCCTCCTGTCACAGATCAGAGGAGAGCGGTGTGGGAGCGGAGACAGGCCGCGCTGTCATAGGAGGCTGATCGCTGAGTGTTTGTAGATAATTGAGGACAGGGTATGGTTACTATATCCTCAATTATGAATGGATGGGAAGTGATCTACATCACCTCCTGTTCATTAATGATTGTGTTTATAGTAAACACACTATGTTCTCATGTTAAGAATGAACAGGAACACTCAGTATAGAGGATTCCTGTTCATTTATAACAGGGGATGTAGAAAAAGATTGAGGACTCTGTGTTCTCAATCTCTTTATCTATTTTAAAAGGGAAATATCAGGGGTCTGTTTAGATCCCTAATATTTCCCTGAAGCACCTAAAATTAAAGTCAAAAATATTAAATAAAAATCAATAAATAAAAATATGATTTTTTTTTAAGTTTATAGGAAATAAATAAAATATAAAAAAAAATTGAAAAAGAAAAAAAACATTTTTTGTTTCGGCCCAACATTTTATTTCATTTTGGTTTCAGTTTTTTTAAAATTTTCATTTTGGTGCACCTCTAAAAAAAAATCAATCTGATTTTGTGACTGATTATTGAGCTTATGCAGCAGCAGCAGCTAGTATAGATACAGTGTTGTCATAATGAGGATGGATGGTACCTGTGCAGGATTAAGAAGCGGAGATGATAATGAGGCACAATAAAAGCTGCAATGATTTATATGACTGATAAAAGTTTAGGAAACCAAGGCCAACTACTGTTAGCTAGAAGTGGTGCAGGTCGTGTTGGAGCAGGGTATCTGACTTACGCTCTCATAGACCTTAGCACTGACACATCTACTATGGAGTGGATACATCCATAGTAATTTAGGACAGCTCTGTCCTTTATTTTGTGATGTTGAAATTGGGTGACACAGCTTAATCTAGTGTTCATGTTACAAGACCTGGAGCTAATTTAAGGAAGGAAGTGGAACCCTGTTGGCACTTTTTTCTGTGTGTCTGTGTATGTTAACTTTAACTTGATACTGCCCCTTTATTTCCTATTATTTGTATGCATGAAGTGGTTGAACTTGATGGACCTGTGTCTTTATTCAACCTCAAATACTATGTAACTTTATGTAAGTGTAATGTTCTAGTAGAACAAAGACTACAGACAAACTATAATCGATTTTCCATTGAGACTGGACACCTGAGTACCTGTTACATTAGCAATTTGTCCACACATCATAATTGTGTATGTAAAGCAGCTTACACACCTGTCTTGTGTTATGTGATAGCTTCATTTGTATCATTATATACACTCATTTATACTTAATTGATGATTACACATATTACCTGTCTTCAGTGTTTTAGGCTCTGTTTTAACACTTGTTATAGGGTTTCACATACCACTCTACAAGAGATAGACCAGGTTCTAGAAGCTAACATAAATCAGTTTTTGGTTTAGCTAAGGAATGGTTTCTTAGTAATTGGTAATTTGTGAAATGGTTGTGGTAAAGGGCTTGGACAGAACGTAGAAAAAAAAAAGGTTGTGAAAAATGTAAAGGCTCTGGGAAGCCAATTTGGCAAGGGCAGTCCACCAATAACTGATATTGGTTTGGGGGTAAAGTCAGCACTCCTTACACAGTTTTAGGCTTGATTAACACCTGTCTCCTCCGGTATGTTGTATAGGTGCACATGCATCTTTGTGCATATTTACACGTGTTGTATGAACAGACAAAAAAATTGGACATTCACTCATTTTCCCAACGCATTGCCTCAGAACGCATAGTAGTACCTTACCATGGCTTGTAGTGCGCTGCAATGCATATGTGTCAGAGACACCTGAGCTTAGTGCTTTAGGGCCAGTTCACACCATAAACAGTGCGTTCCAGAGCTGTCAGCTTCCGGAACGCACTGTATTGCATTCCAGCCAGCTTCCTGCATTTATGGAGGGTGCGTGGCAGTGTGTCGAAGTCAAAGGCACCGCAACCACGCCCCCCACACCCAGTGCGATCGCCAGCACCAGAATGCGTGGCACATCAGTGCCTGCATTCCGGTCCAGTGTGATCTGCAAAAATGGTGCTTGCTGCATTTTTTTCAGATCGCGTCACTTGTTGCGTGTACCCAAAAAGACTTGAGGCTGTAATTGCTGCCAAAGGTGCTTCAACAAAGTACTGCGTAAACGGTCTGAATACTTTAGTACATGTGATATTTCATTTTTTTCTTTTTAATAAATTCAGACATTTCTAAAATTCTGTGTTCACTTTGTCATTATGGGGTACTGAGTGTAATGAGACAAAAAAAAGAAAAGAATTTAAACAGCTGTAGTGTCAGGCTACAGCATAACAAGATTGAAAAAAATTGAAGGGGGTCCGAAAACCTTCTGAATGCACTGTATATTTAGAGGTGAGACAAAAAATGATGGATGTATTTGTATTTATATATTTTTTTTGTATTTAACAATAATGACCAAGTGCCAAATTTTATGATAAGAGATATCTAAAGATGTGTCAACTTGAAATATTATGAATGTTCTGGCTGAAAATTTGTATTATTAAAGGAGAATTATGAGGTGAGTGATTTTCACTCAGCCTCATAATCTGAGCCGACCTGTGACAATGAGACTGTCACAGGTCGGCTCAGTAGATCGGGAAGTGAGCGAACACATAGCGGCGCTTGCTCACTTTTCGATCTATCCCTGCAGAGAGCTGTGACTGTCACTCACGGTTCCCTGCAGGGATTCCCCCCTCCCCTGTCCGATCTTCCGGCGCTGACTGGCGGAACGGACGTGTAAGGGGGCGGGTACAGCGGGCTCTGCCTCTAGATAGGCAGAGCCAGCTGTCACTCATGCAGCTTGGTGGATCCAGACAGAATTGTTGGGATCCGTTCCGGCTGTGGCGTCTCAGTATAGCTACAGCTCGCAGTATAGTGAGCTTTGGGTGACGGGAGGGCGCTAGTTTGTGTCCTCCCGCAACCCTTAGGACACTATGGGGAAAAGCCCTAACCCCATAGTTCTCCTTTAATAATATTATATGTAGGTTTGTTATTGTACCTGTTATTTTTAGTGTTGTCAAGGTATTTTGAATATTTATTTTATTGCTATTGTCAGTTGGTTACTGCTATCATTTCATCTTTCCGTTCTGATTTCAGACACCCTCAAAAGATCAATTCCCACTTACACACTAGTCAATAATGTATATCCATAATCTTTTATGTGTTGTTTGTAGCCCTGATGAAGGGGGGCTCTTTAAAAACCAGAAATGCATTGGATTTTTAATGATCTAAGAGTCTGACTTTATGCATTCTGCTTTTTTCCCCCTCACTTTCTGTTCAGAAACAGTTGTCACTGCAATGAAAGTGAGCAAGATCTCCTAATGAGGGCTTGTGTTTAAGTGACAACTCTGAGGTGGGATTCTTTTAATATTTGCTAGGTCACCCCAGTGCCTCATTGGGTTCCCAAATAACAATATAAACCTGAAAGAGGGTCTAATTCTTCCCTTCTTTAAAACAAAAGTGTTTTTCTAGAGTTTGTTCAAATTTTGCTAAGATTGTGTTGAAATTTTAAAGTTGTCATACCTTTTTAGAGCAAAATGAACCGTGCGTTTTAGAAGAACATAGAGTGGTAAAGGACATATTGTGCATTTATCATACAAGTGTGTCATATAAATGTATTCTTTCCCCAGAACTTGCACCATCGTGGAGTTGTGAACCTGGAGTGTATGTTTGAGACTCCAGAAAGAGTGTTTGTAGTAATGGAGAAGTTGCATGGTGACATGCTTGAGATGATCCTATCCAGTGAAAAGGGAAGGTTACCTGAGCGTATCACCAAATACTTGGTTACACAGGTTAGTATAGGATCATTTTGTTTTCACATTCTGAGAAGTCCATAAAGAGTTTGTGATATGTGAACATCTGTTTTCTTTTAAGATTTTAGTTGCACTGAGGCACCTTCACTTCAAAAATATTGTCCACTGTGACCTGAAACCAGAAAATGTGCTGCTTGCTTCAGCCGATCCCTTTCCCCAGGTAAATTATGAAATTTCTTCTATAGAAGTGTGAAGCTGGGAAGAACTCATTAGCTATCAAAACCTGCCAAACAGAAAGATAATTCAGAAACAAATTAGGTAATTTTTTTAGAACAAATCCAACCTTACTCCAAGGAGTGTGTTAAGAGACCTTTAATGTCTTATGCATGTATATACTATGTTAGTCATTTAAGTCAACAGGTGTGATTAACAGGAAATGTAAATCTGCAATTCATTGTTTGAGGTAGCCGACTAGAGCTAATATTGGACTGTAAATTATGTGAAGCCCATACTACATTGGATCAGCTCAGCAAACCCCTTTACACATACACAAATTGGTTACAGTTAAATGATACGTATTGCCTTGCCCTCCATGGCTCTTGGTGAATGCTGCTGAGCCAATCCTCAATCACATCAATGTTTGGAAGGCGATCTTTTTGGAGCTTTGTCGAAGAAATATTCAAGTTAGCGTAAAAAATATTTCTAGCCTGTAACATCAGTGTGTGAATAAACAATATTCCCAAACCATTGACAACTTTTGTAATCATTAACTGATTTCTGTGAACCTCAGAATGCTCCTGGTTTCCAGATGCTTCCTATAAGCAAGGCTTATGTTGTGCTCAAAGCTCAGCCATGCTGTCACCCTGCAGTTTAAGTTTTTTATACCAGAACCTCAGTGGTCAGTAGAGTGGCGAAAGTATGGCTTAGATGCAGTAATGGTTCAGAGCTTAGCTCCAGCTTGGGCAAAGGTTATGACCCTCTATAGTTTACACCAGGAATGTAATCATGGTGTGGTTGTTCAGCTGAGTTTATTCAAGCCACCCCCTAGCACCTTAATTTTTATAAATTTTATAAATCTTCAATCTAACTCAAGTTGTCACACTCTTCACAATGTCGCACCTCAGGTTAAGCTATGTGATTTTGGCTTTGCACGTATCATTGGAGAGAAGTCTTTCCGACGCTCAGTGGTTGGTACTCCTGCTTATTTGGCCCCAGAAGTTCTGAGAAACCGAGGCTACAACCGATCCCTGGATATGTGGTCTGTGGGGGTAATCATTTATGTGAGCTTGAGTGGAACTTTCCCATTTAATGAGGACGAGGATATTCACGACCAGATCCAGAATGCGGCCTTCATGTACCCACCAAATCCCTGGAGAGAAACCTCCTCTGATGGTAAGCATCTTCCACAAGACAAAACCAAACATGTACAACAACATGTCTCTACAAAATACATCCCTGTAATGAGAATATTTCTTTACAGTGTGCACCGGTCCTGAATGTATACTATAGACCTAAAACAGTGCAAGTTAACACACATATATAGATATATACATATATGTATATATCTATATATGTGTGTGATTTCCATATTTTATGTAATATATATATATAATCAGCAGAAAAATAGAAGCTAAGTTGAGAATGGGAAGGAGGAGTTATATAGGGTATTAATGGCAGAGAGAGGGTGAGGGGGCGTGACTTCAATGCCACGCCCCTGAATGCAGGGAGCCCGGCTGGCATGCGTTCCAGAGGCCGAACGCTCTGGAACGCAGACTTTGTGGTGTGAACCAGCCCTCTCTTGGCTGTCTCTTCTCTCCTCCCTCTCTCTCTGCCATCTCCTCTCTCTCTGCCGTCTCCTCTCTATCTCTCTCTGCCGTCTCCTCTCTCTCTGCCGTCTCCTCTCTCTCTGCCGTCTCCTCTCTCTCTCTGTCGCCTCCTCTCTCTCTCTGCCGCCTCCTCTCTCTCTCTCGTCTCCTCTCTCTCTCT